TCTACAGTGAAAATTATAAAACATTGAAGAAAGAAATAGAAGAAGACATAAAAATGGAAAAATCTTCCATCTTCAGGGATTGGAAGAATCAATATCATCAAAATTTCCATACTATCAAAAGCAATTTACAGATTCAATGCAATCCCAATCAAAATACCAATAATGTTCTTCTGAGACCTAGAGAAAATAATGCTAAAATTCATATAGAAACATAAGAGACCCCAACTAGCTAAAGCAAACTTACACAACAAAAACAAAGCCAGAAGCATCACAATACCAAATTTCAAGACATATTACAGGGCAGTTACAATCAAAGAAGCTAGATATTGGCAAAAAAAAAAAATACATGTAGACCAAAGGAACAGAATAGAAACTCCAGAAATCAATCCACACATCCACAACCAAATTATCTTTTTTTCTTTTACTTTTATTTAATAAATATAAATTTCCAACACATTAAGGACAGAGATCCTACATGGGGAGTGAGTGGGCAGTGACTCCTGTTGTTGACTTAAATTGATACTCTTGTTTGTGGCATCAGTAATCACCCTAGGCTCCTGTCATGAGTTGCCAAGGCTATGGAAGCCCTTTGAGTTCACCGACTCCGATCTTATTTAGACAAGGTCATAGCCAAAGTGGAAGTTCTCTCCTCCCTTCAGAGAAAGGTACCTTCTTCTTTGATGGCCCCATTCTTTCCACTGGGATCTCATCCACAGAGATCTTCCATTTAGGTCTTTTTTTTTTTTTTTGCCAGAGTGTCTTGGCTTTCTATGATTAAAATACTCTCATGGGCTCTTCAGCCAGATCTGAATGCCTTTAGGGCTGATTCTGAGGCCAGAGTGCTGTTTAGGACATCTGCCATTCTATGAGTCTGCTGTGTATACCGCTTCCCATGTTGGATCATTCTCTCCCTTTTTAATTCTTTCAGTTAGTATTAGCAGACACTAGTCTTATTTATGTGATTCCTTTGACCCTTAGACCTATCAGTGTGATCAATTATGAACTGAAATTGATCACTTGGACTAGTGAGATGGCATTGATACATGCCACCTTGATGGGATTGAATTGGAATCCCCAGGCATGTTTCTAACTCCACCATTTGGGGCAAGTCAGCTTGAGCTTGTCCCAAATTGAACTTATCTTTGACAAAGGAGCTAAAATCAATCCCTGGATCAAGGACAGTTTCTTCAACAAATGGTTCTGGGAAAACTGGATCTCCACATGTGAAATATAAAACAAGACCCCTACCTTACACCTTACACCTTACATAAAAATGCATTCAAAATGGATAAAAGACCTAAATATATGACCCAATACCATCAAATTACTAGAGAACATTGGGAAGCTCTGTAAGACATTGCTATAGGCAAAGACCTCTTGGAAAATATTCCACAAGCAAAGCCAATCAAAGCCAAAATTGACAAGTGATGTTACATCAAGTTGAGAAGCTTCTGCATTGCAAAGGAAACATTCAGCAAAGTGAAGATGCGACCAACAGAATGGGAGAAAAGTTTGCAAAATATGCAACTGATGAAAGGTTAATATCTGTAATCTATAAAGAGCTTAAAAAATTCAATAACAAAACAAACAATCCAGTTTAAAAATGGGTAAAGGACTTGGATACACATTTTTCAAGAGAAAAAATTCAAATGGCCAACACACACATGAAAAAATTCTCAGGATCACTAGTCATCAGGGAAATGCAAATCAAAACCACAATGAGGTTTCACTTCACGCCAGTTAGAACAGCCTTCATACAGAAACCAACAAAAAACAAACACTATTGAAGATGTGGGGGAAAAGGTACCCTAATCCACTGTTGTTGGGAATGTAAACTGGTGCTATCACTGTGGAAGACAGCATGGAGAATCCTCATAAATCTGAATATAGACCTACAATATAATCCCACCATCCCACTCCTGGGAATTTATTCAAACAAAAAGAAATGAGCAGATAAATAGGTATCTGTACCCCTATATTTATTGCAGCTCAATTGACAATTGCTAAAATTTGTAATCAACCCAGATGTCCATAAACTGATGACTGGATAAAGAAATTATTATATATATACATACTATGGAGTACTACTCAGGTGTGAAAAAATGAAATCCTTTCTTTGGCAACAAAATGGATGCAACTGAAAACCACTATACTTAGCAAAATAAGCCAGTCCCAACAAGACAGATAGCATATGTTTTCCTTCATCTGGGTTAGCTAAAAGAGTTCCTAAAATGTAATGTATTGGAGTGAAATGGTCATTTTGAGATTCAATAATTGTTTGCTGATCTTGTCTCTTCTGTTGAGGAACAGTGCTTTTAACTTCATACTATTTGTGTAACTTTTTACTTAGTGTAGCATTAACCTTATGAATATTAATTACACTGAAATTAGATCTTTGTAAACATTTAAGAGTGGGAATAGAAGAGGGAGGAGGAAGAAGTGGGGTGGGGGGGAGTGCTGGAGGAAAGTATAACCATGTTCCTAAATGTGTATATATGAAATACATGAAACTTGTATAACTTAAATTAAAATTTTTTAAAAAGATACATTGGAGGCCAGCGCCATGGCTCATCCTCCACATAGCGGCACCGGCACACCAAGTTCTACCCACGGTCGGGGCGCCAGATTCTGTCCCGGTTGCCCCTCTTCCAGGACAGCTCTCTGCTGTGGCCAGGGAGTGCAGTGGAGGATGGCCCAAGTACTTGGGCCCTGCACTCCATGGGAGACCAGGAGAAGCACCTGGCTCCTGCCATCGGATCAGCGCAGTGTGCCGGCCTCAGCGTGCTGGCCGCAGTGGCCATTGGAGGGTGAACCAACAGCAAAAGGAAGACCTTTCTCTCAGTCTCTCTCTCTCACTGTCCACTCTGCCTGTCAAAAAAAAAAGATACATTGGAGTTGAAATATATTCCTGGCTCCTGGCTTCAGATTGGCCCAGCTCTGGCCATTGCAGACATTTGGGGAGTGAACCAACAAATGGAAGGCCTCTCTCTCTATCTTTCTCTCTCTCTCCCTCTCTCTCTCTCTCTGCCTCTCTGTAACTCTACCTTTCAAATAAATAAAGAAATATTTTTAAAAACTGGATTTATATCTGTAGAAGAATAAAATTAAATCCATACCTCTCACCATATACAAAATTCAACTCAATATGTATCAAAGACATAAATTTAATACTTGAAACTATGAAATTTATGTAAATTTAAGACCTGAAGTTACTGGAGAAAATGTAATACTCCAAGACATTGGTGTAGTGGATGACTTCTTGGACAAGAGCCCCCCCCCATAGCACAGGCAACAAAAACAAAACTAAGCAAGTAGGACTATATCAAACTCAGAAGCTTTTGCACAGCAAAGGAAACAATAGAGTGAAAAGACATCTAGCAGAATGGGGGAAAAATTTGCAAACCACTTATCTGACGAAGAATTAATATCCCAATGTATCAGCAACTTAAAAAATTCAACAAAAAAAGTCTAGTTGAGAAATGGGTATAGAACTTCAATAGAGAGTTCTCAAAAAAAGAAATATTAATGTCCAACAGATATATGAAAAAATCATCAACATCACTAGCCATCAGGTAAATGCAAATCAAAACCACAATGAGATATTACCACACCCCTGTCAGAATGGCTAAAAGTCACAACACAGAGAGTAAAAAATGCTGGGGAGGATGTGGACAAAGGGAAACACTTATACACCATTTGTGGACAAAGGGAAACACTTATACACCATTTGTGGGAATGTAAATTAGTGAAGCCACTGTGGAAAACCATGTGGAGATTTCCTTTAAAACTAGAACTAGACCTGACATTGACCCAGCAATCCCACCACTGGGTATATACCAAAAATACTTGAACACAATGTATCAAATAGATACCTGTACCACCATGTTTATAGCAGCACTATTCCCAATAGCCAAAATTTAGAACTAACCAAGGTGTTCATCATCATAAAAATGGATAAAGAAAATGTGATATATATACACAATGGAATATTATTCAGCTATAAAAAAGAATAAAATTCTACTAAGTGAATGACCTTGACCAAGATACTGGCCTCCTCAGACCCCAATTTCTTCATCTGTAAAACAAAGGAATCAAAATCTTATCAGAATGTGTTAGTGTCAAATGAGATAAAATATATGAAATCTCCAGCTTAATCATAATATATGCACACATATACATCCTCTTTGTTTAAATTTAAACGTTATTCTCAGAAATAATATCAGGGGCCATTATTGTTTTATTTTAAATAATGTAGCATTGATCATCAAGATAAAAAATATATAACAACTTTTGTTCATTTACAGTCTGAAACACTGAATTCCACAAATTTAATTGACCAAACATTTATTGTTTTGCTTTATGCTATTTGGAGAAAAACACAAAGATGAGTCAGTCAAGCCATGTTAGCAAAAGAGTCACAGTTTAACAAGGAGAAATAAACACGGAAATAAAGGTGGTAAAGACCTTGAAGGATTCCCACTGAATGCTGTTTGAGTCCAAAGAAAAAAGACGTATCCAGAGGAAATAATCATGGGAGTTTCCCAAAGGTAAAATCATGTCATATGGGCTTTTGAAGGTGGGTAGAATGTTATCAGGTGGAGATTAGGAAAATATATAGGTAGAACATGTTCAGAAAATAATAGGCTCTAACAATATAATAGAAAATAATAATAAAACACTAAGAGAAGGCCATGATTTGAGGGTATTTCATACCCTGTAGGAGTTTATATTTTATTCAACAAGAGAAAACCAATGGGACAAACGGGAACCATAAGGAGAGAAAACAGGACAGGAAAGTCAAACAATTGTGAACAAAAGAGAAATTTAGAGATCAACATGTTCATGACACATGTTAAATAAGCACGTTCCACCTCATGCTTTAGAAATCTCTGTCTCGTACTAGCACGTGCTCATGTGCCTTTCCTGACAAGTGTCAACACCTTCTCTCACGAGGACTAAGCTTCTCTAAGTCAGTTTGACCTGCCCAGAATCCACTCCGCAAATCCTGAGTGTGTCAGGTCGGCAGGATTTCTAAGCACACCAGTGATCACTAAATCTCTCCCTGCCCTTTCAAGTCTCAAAACCAAGGCTCAGCTGTCTCCCACGCAAAGGACATATGGACCAGTGGTTCCTTGACATGGTCCTTCCCATCCTCTCCCCTCTCCTTCTCCACTGTTCCCAGACTGACCTGGAACATTTCTGGAAGAGTTCCCTCTCCAGGGCAACCTATCTGCCTCATGGCCACTGCCAGACGTGGAACTGTAGGGGATCCTCAGACTCCAGGCAGGAGATGTCTCCAGTCTTGTCCAGTCCTTCTTAGATGAGGAAACTGGAATAAAGAAGGAGACTGACCCAAGGTCAGGTAGGATGAAGGCAGAGTGCAGCCCTAGGTGCCCCGATTTCCCGTCTCCTATTCGCCCTGTCTTGCCTTACTAAATCATCTATTTCTCTTCCCGCATCACCTTCCTCCTCATGAGCCTCCTCACGGCATTTTTCACCTCGGCATTCCTGAAGGAGTAAATGACGGGGTTCAGGAGAGGTGTGAGCACCGTGTAGAACACAGCGACTATCTTGTCTGCAGCAAAGGTGACACAGGGCCTCATGTAGACAAAGGAGCAGGGGATGAAAAACAGGCTCACAACCACCAGGTGAGAGGCGCAGGTGGAGAGAGCCTTGCGCCGCCCTTCTGAGGTGTGGCTCCGCAGGGAGTGCAGGATCACCGCGTAGGAAGCCAGCAGCACAGCGAAGCTGATCACCGAGATGGAGCCGCCGTTCACGATGATTAGCAGGCTAATCAGGAAGGTGTCGGAGCAGGCCAGCTTCAGCACCGGGTGGACATCACAGAAGTAGTGATCAATGATGTTGGGGCCGCAGAAGGGCAGCTGGAAAATGAGGAAGGTTTGCCCGAGAGAGTGCAGCAAGCCCCCACCCCAAGCCGCCCCCACCAAGAGGCCACACACTCTCCGGTTCATGATGGAGACGTAGTGCAAGGGCTTGCAGATGGCCACATAGCGGTCATAGGCCATCACCGTCAGAAGGAAGATCTCGGTGCCTCCAAAGAAATGGAGGAAAAATATCTGTGTGAAGCAGCCCTTGAGGGAAATGGCTTTCCTCTTGTTAAAAGGGTCAAAGATGAGCTTGGGAGCTGTGACAGAGCAGTAACAGATCTCCACAAAGGACAAGAAGCTGAGGAAGAAATACATGGGGGAGGTGAGCCCTTTGCCAGCCATGACGGTCACTATAATGAGACCGTTGCCCAGGACGATGGCCATGTACATGAGGAGAAGCATCACGGAAATGACTTTCTGCACATTCCTGTCCTGGGAAAATCCCAAGAAAATGACTTCAGTCACATTGCTTGTGGCGGCCATGTTTTAAAGCACAGAAGCTAATAACCTGAAATCATAGAAAACAGTAATTTTTTATTCTCAATAATCAGACGCATTTTCCTTTGGCTTTGGGTTCCCTCTTTGCCTTGGGTTCGCCTAGAACATGTACTCCATGAGATAAGTAGATACATGAGCACCCATCATGGCTTGATATCATGCCCAGGCTAGGACTTGACTTGGTAGCTGTGCAGCCTTGAAGCACTTTGTCTGACTCAGGTACATGCACTCACTGGTTTTTATCCTCACAACAGAAAGGAAAGGACACTTTATGGAGAAAACAAGGCTCAGAGAGGTTTAGCTACTTGCTCACAGAGCTCATATTGGAACTGAGGTCTGTATTTTTCAAAATGAAGATGTTTTGGGGAGTGATCATTTATCCTAGTGGTTAAGGTGCCCTTGTCCCAAATCAGGATACCTGGGTTCAGTTGCCAATTCCCACCAATGTAGACTTTGGGAGGCAGCAAATGACAACTAAAGAAGTTGGGTTCCTGCCACAAATATGGGAGATCTGGATTGTGTTCCAAGATCCTAGTTCTAACTCCGATCCAACAGTGGCCACTGCAGGCATTTGGCACGGGAACTGGAGAATCAGAGCTCTTTCTTTGTGTGTCTGTTTCTCTTCCTCTTCCTCCCCCCTCATTCTAAATACTTATTAATTTTAAAATGATAATGATTGGGGCTGGCATTGTTGCACAGTGAGTTAAGCTGCCCCCTGCAATGCCACCATCTCATATGGGCACTGGTTTGAGGTCCTGCTGCTCTACTTCCAATCCAGCTCCATCTTAATGCACTTGGGAAAGCAGCAGATGTTAGCCCAAGTACTTGGGCCATTTCATCCACATGTGACCTGGATGGAATTTCAGGCTCCTGGCTTCAGCCTGGCCCAGCCCCAGCCATAGCAGCTGTTTGAGGAGTGAAACAGCAGACGGAAGATTCATTCTTTCTCTCCCTCTCCCTCTCCCTGTCCCTCTCCCCCTCCCCTTTCCTTCCTCACTCCCTCCCTCTCTGTAATTCTGATTTTCAAATAAAATGAACAAATCCTTTTTTAAGAAATGTTTATGATCCCTCTACATTCCTACTCACGTGACATCATGAGGAGTAACTTACATTAGTTGCAAAATAGCAACTTCAGATCAGTCTTGGCTTATACCATGGAGTGGAACCAATATTTTGCAGTGAGTGACACAGTTGCTCAACCCCTTATTCAGCAGTCTATGAATTCCTAATCAGACTCCCTGATATACATAAGGGAAACGGTGAGGGAGCAAAAGGACAGAGTTGCCAAACTTCAGCCACTCACCGAAACAGTCTGTCTCAACAGTCTAGGGACCAATGGCTAAGAAACAATTCAGAAGAAAATCAAGTGCCATTTCATAACACCCTATTGTTCTATGTGGCTTTCCCGGCATCCTTAAATCAGAACCTCAGAGCACAGCAAGTCTATAAGCCTCTGAGCTGGGTAGAACTGCTTCCTGAAACAATTGTATGTTAAGAGACCAGCATGCACTGTAGAGGGCATTGCAGACAGGAATTCATTTAGATGCTCTTGCTGCATCAGGCAGGCCTGACACCCATCTTTGCTCCTGCATATTGGCTGCCTCACCCATGTCCCCTCCTCCAGACCCACCTCCAAAGACAGGGGTTGAGGACCAGTGACTGTGCCCTTGCCCCCTGTTTAGAGCTGCTTTCTTATGCCTAAGCAGGGAGTCCAGTTAATTACACAGGTTACAGAATGATTGGGGTTGAGGACTTGTAGCATTCAATGTAGAAAGTTCATTCCAAGTCATACCACAAGGCAGGACTGATAAGGATGCTCTTATTATGGAACTACCATAAAGGACCCTGCAGAAATGAGAGACGCAGTAGAAGCGCTTACACTTTGAAAATGCAGATGTCAGTTCAAACAAGAGGTGTATGACCTTGGACAAGTGATGAAGCCTCTCTGAGCCTCAGTTTCCATATCTACAAAAGATACAAGACTATCGAATCATTGTTGAGTCCTCCCCTGCCTCCCTACCCAGCCAACCAGTCGCACACAGGGTGCTTGGGCAGAAGGGTTTCACCATTGACAGGAAAAATGACTCCCTTTCTGGGTGAATATTTACTGTGAAAATTAGCTTGAAATCAAGTGCACTGTATTTCTAGAATTTCTTGTAGATGTGGGGTATCAATGAAAGTGGTACTCTCAGAGCATTTAAGAACTTTTAGTCTTTAGATTTTAAAAAATGAGGCTTTTATTTTAATTCAAGGCTGTTGCAGTTTAGCAGTAAGAGGAATATACAACTACAACATAATGATGAAATGTTCTTAAAGACTTAAACAGATTTAGAACTGAAGAAAGAAAAGGAGAAAACATTTATTGAATCTCTGAGTAGAACTAGAAAACATTTGAGATAATATTATAAAGAAATCATCAGACCAGTGAATCATTAACAGGGATGGCAACTTTTTTATCTTCAGAGTCCAAAATAATTTTAATTCTGACTGTTTTATTGTCAGGGCCAAAGAAAAACACTCTGAAAGATAAGAATGTTTTCTTATTGGACAGTAAGTTAACTGGACAGTTCCAAGCTTTTCAGTTAAGAAAACCTAAAATAGGGGCTGGTATCATAGCACAGAGAGTTAAGTCACCACCTGCCATATGGGCACCCGTTTGAGTCCCGGATGTTCCACTTCAATTCAGTTCCCTGCTAATGCACCTTGGAAAGCAGCAAAAAATGCCTCAAACTCTTGGGCCCCTGCCACCCACATGGAAGACCTTGATAGAGTTCTAGGCTCTTGGCTTCACTTGGCCCAGCCCCAGCCATTGATGACCATTTGGAGAGTGAACTAGTAAATGGAAGATATCTCTTTATCTTCTCTCTTTATCATCTTCTCTGTGTGTGTGTGTGTGTGTGTGTGTGTGTCTCTTTCTCTCTCTCTCTCTTTCTCTCTGTTTGGAAGGGAGTGCACGGACTCCTTTTCTTTCAGAAGAGGAATCCAGGGCCCAGATTCCCACAAGTTGGTATGCAGCCTGGACTAGATTCAGGTTCCATGGCTTCTGTCCAATACTTGCTCCACTGCCTATCTCATTCATTGACTCATCCCCCAGGTGCTCATGCAAACCTGGCTTCCAGAATGGAGTGAGAACACGGAGAGAGAAGAGAGTTCATAACAAAGACAAAGCCAAGAGAGAGTAAGACCTGGAAAAAATGAACAGTAAGAAAATTAATCACATGGTCTACTTCAGTGACTCACTTGTCTTGAGGTGCAAGTTCTACCCAGACAACCTGGGCAGAGGCTCCAGGGAAGACAGTATCGGCTGCCAAGGAAGGAAACCTTTGCAGGCTTTGCCTTGGGGATGTGAGAGCTTAGCTCTAGCACTTTGTCACCACGGGTCAATTATTCTCTACCTGCTTCATATACATCTGTTATGTCTCTCTCTAGAGAAAAAAAATGAATTTCTAAAGGCTGATGAAGCAACTCTTAGGAGGAGACTTCAAAAAGTATAGAAAAATGGAAGTAAAGGATAAGCTTATTTGAATGGAAATAATTTTTAAATCCATGGATAGTTTCTTCACAATGAACATTTTCCATGAATTTTATGGAGTTCCCTCAGACAGCCTCAGTGACCCCTTGCGCAGAGCTGGAACACAGTGGGTGCCAATAAGTGGTTTTGGTGTAAATCTCCAACCTCCCATCAGCTGCTACATCTATTTCAAAGCCACACTAACACTGGGTATGTCCTATAAACAGCAGAGAGGCTAAAATATTTGGGAGGAGAATGTCTATCCTCAAAAAATAAGCTCTTCCTTTTGAAACTAATTCCAAGCATGCACTAGGAGAAAATAAATGAATGAACTTACCTTGAATATTGTTTGTTGCCTTGATTCTTAACCTTATCTTCTGGATCTCTTAGATTCACTTGAACAAAGTCACCCCAGAAAAGTAGAGTTTTATTCCACTAACAAATCTAGAGACAAAATGAGTGTACTAGTGTCACTGGTTTCAAATTTGGTGATCCTGGTTCAAGATTGCTCCTTACTAAAATTTCGGCTTCTGTGTAGGCTTATCTCCATTCAGGCTTAAATCAAGTGAATGACGTTTCTCCTACAAAACACAGATATGAAAATATATTTAGACAGGCCCCTTGAATGTTTAAAAAGAAACATTCTGTGTAGGCTTATCTCCATTCAGGCTCAGATGAAGTGAATGACATATTTCTCCTATAAAACATCAGATATGACAATGTATTTAGACAGGCCCCTTGAATGTTTCAAAAGAAAATTCCTGAAAAATATCTCAGCAGTTGATTGAAAACCAGCTTTGCAAACTATTCCATACTGGCCATGTTGCCAGTTTGTTTTGCCAATTTATCTCAAGTGAGAACGACTCTAACATCTATGCTAAGCCAATCTATAAAGTAAATTTCTCATTCTGTCATTTAAGAGGTATCATAAATAGGCATAAAAGGTAAGTGAAAATGAACAGGATGATGTCTGGGGTTTGCTGAAAAACCAAGCAAATCTCAGAAAGGTTCCCGTGTGTGGACAGATGTGGAAAGCAAGAGAGACGCCAGTGAGTGGAGCCAGTGTGTATCAAAGATCCCACTGAGGGGTCCGCACATCCAGGGTAAGGGCTCAAGGAGTGTAACTGACTCGGAATCTGTCCTACCCAGCAAAGGCACTGCCAAAGATGACCTTCCCATATGGACTCACCACGTGCCATAAACATCGCCACCTCCACATTCCAACTCCAGAGCATACTGCCTTTCTCTAGAAAGCTGTAGGGGAAGGTAACAATTCTAAAAGGAGAAATGAGAGAGATGTCTCCTAAACTGAGAGGCCTGAAGCATTTAACGCCTATAAAAACCACAAACTGAGATCTGGGAATTCAATTCCCCAAACTTTGCAGACATCCTCTGTCTGGGGAGTTTCTGAGAAGAACAAAAGTCAATTTTCAAAGTGCTGCAGTCAGAGGTTAAGGAACTTAGCTCTAATTAA